AAAAAAAAAAAAAAGTAATTTTAAATATATGCGAATGTCGCCGTAACCTCTGATTTGGGAATAACCTTCTGTTGCAGAAGAGGCAATCCCACTGTAGATGCTTCCCTAGTTCCGACAGTTTTCTGAGTGGCTGGGATTGGCTGAGAGATCGCAGTGGATTCCGCCTATTTTCACAAGCTGCTCACAGAACACAGAGGCAAGGGCCGCTGCCGACATCTGCCCGCGGAAGCAGCCTGCGTGAGGCAGAGCCGCAGAAGGCACTGGGAGTCTGGAACCTGCCGAATTCTGGTCAAGGCTCCGCCTTTTACTGCCCGGGAGACTGGAGGCAAGACACTCAGTGGCAGGAGGCCGCATCATCGCTCTGTTTGCAAACTCCTCACAAGCAGTATGTACAAACAAACGAAATGTGTCTCTCTGCCTACGTGAAGAACTTTATCTTCAACAAGAGTCAAAAAAGTTTTCAACTTAAAACAAAAATAAACTTTAAGACGTCTTCTAACTTGACATAAAATGTGTTCACTTTTAGCCATAGCACCTGACAGCATATTATCATGTTAAGCCTTTAAAATTCTTTTTTTAGACTTAATTCCTTTTATAACTATTGATAACACATACAAAAACTGTTTTCAGACAATGGCATGAGATTGTCTTTAGTACAAAAGATGTTTAAGAATCAGCTTAGGAAATTATATAAAAATGATTTCACAAAATGAAATTTATTACAGTAGTAGCTAACAAATTCTATATACTTTATTAGTAATACATAAGAGGATGCGTGAGTAAAAAGCAATAAATCAAAAAGAAAGGAGAGTTAAAATATCCCATAAACTGGATGCTTTCCTGTGACCTCCCATAGCATAATATAGTACGATGCTCTCTGTCAGCCTGTGAGCTTCTGAACAAGTAGCAGGGCGCCTGGCACACAAATGCCGATCCAAAGATTGTTGTTTGAGTTCAAATGTAAAGCTACAAATATATCTTTAGTAATATAAGAGGTATCATCACTTGGAGATGCAGCAATCCTAGAAATAATGAAAATAGTGCCCTCTAGTGGTAGAAAACCACACTTTCTCTCAGTCTTTAATTACAGGAGATTTAAATTAAGAATTCCATTTTATTTGAAAACATTTAAATGTAATACTATGTTTTTCCTTTAACTTATAGAAATATATTCTCTTCTTGGCCGGGCGTGGTGGCTCATGCCTATAATCCCAGCACTCTGGGAGGCCAAGGCAGGAGGACTGCTGGAAGCCAAGAGTTAGAGACCAGCTTGGGCAACACACTGAGACCTCATCTGTACAAAAAATAAAAAATTAGCCGGGCGTGGTGGCGCACGCCTGTGGTCCCAGCTACTCAGGAGGCTGAGGCAGGAGGATCACTTGAGCCCTGGGGATTGAGGCTATAGTGAGCTATGATCAAGCTATTGCACTCCAGCCTGGGCAACAAAGTGGGAACCTGTCTCAAAAAAAAAAAAAAAAAAAACAAAATTAAAAACAAAAAAACCCACCAAAAAAACCCCCAATAACTGTTTCTCTTTAAAAGAAAAAAAAACCTTTCTAAGAACTGAGTTCAAACTAAATGTATAAAGTGACCACCTAACTTTACACGAATTGGTTTTAAGTAAATCTGATGAAATCTAAATCAAAGCTGGCAACTTATATTTATGGTTCTTTCATCAAACACCTTTTCCACATACTTTTTTCATGGATGAAACAATAAAAATATTTATAATCCCTGTATATTTGGAGCATCGCAAGAACATCTAAGGGCAAAGGCGTGTGCTTGGCTGTGGACGTCAGCTCTAGACAGCCATTCGGCCAGCGTGTGCTGGCGCTCGTAGGACACGGAGGAACGCAAAGAGTGAGAAGCGAGCTGTGCGAACCGCGCCCCCAACACACTCGATGCTCAGGCCTTTCCAGTGCGGATCTGTAGCATCACCTTACTTCTAAAGGTAACCCTTGCGCACAAAATTGAGAACCTTAAGAAAAGCACAGTGAGTGCCACCGTGCCAGGTTTAAACTGTTAGTATGTTTTCTCTACTCCATTCTTAATTTATTTCTTTGCATTAGGCAAGTCAACACTTTCACAAAACCACATAAATAATGGTCGACTTGCACAATCTAGGTAGAGTTGTATTCTGTTTATGTGAATTCAATTATATGCATGAAGAAAAAAATAAAAAAGCAAGCCCCGACTTTTTAACATGGGACATGGGAAGTGGTGCCCATGGACATCTGGTCCTCAGCTGGTCTCTCACAGTGGCAGCGTCTTCACGTGCTGGGCGTATTCCTGACGTTTAAGGACACTTGTTTTGGATACAGCGTGGCCCCTGAGCAAAAGCCAACTGCTTTATCTGGCCCTTAAAGTAATTTTAGGCTGGGCATGGGGGCTCATGCCTATAATCCTAGCTCTCTGGGAGGCCAAGGCGGGCGGATTGTTTGAGCTCAGGAGTTCGAAACCAGCCTGAGCAAGAGCGAGACCCCGTCTCCACTAAAAATAGAAAGAAATTAATTGGACAACTAAAAATATATAAAAAAAAATTAGCCAGGCATGGTGGCGCATGCCTGTAGTCCCAGCTACTCGGGAGGCTGAGGCAGGAGGATCGCTTGAGCCCAGGAGTTTGAGGTTACTGTGAGCTAGGCTGACGCCACAGCACTCTAGCCCGGGCAACACAGTGAGACTCTGTCTCAAAAAAAAAAAAAAAAGTAATTTTAAATATATGCGAATGTCGCCGTAACCTCTGATTTGGGAATAACCTTCTGTTGCAGAAGAGGCAATCCCACTGTAGATGCTTCCCTAGTTCCGACAGTTTTCTGAGTGGCTGGGATTGGCTGAGAGATCGCAGTGGAGTCCGCCTATTTTCACAAGCTGCTCACAGAACACAGAGGCAAGGGCCGCTGCCGACATCTGCCCGCGGAAGCAGCCTGCGTGAGGCAGAGCCGCAGAAGGCACTGGGAGTCTGGAACCTGCCGAATTCTGGTCAAGGCTCCGCCTTTTACTGCCCGGGAGACTGGAGGCAAGACACTCAGTGGCAGGAGGCCGCATCATCGCTCTGTTTGCAAACTCCTCACAAGCAGTATGTACAAACAAACGAAATGTGTCTCTCTGCCTACGTGAAGAACTTCATCTTCAACAAGAGTCAAAAAAGTTTTCAACTTAAAACAAAAATAAACTTTAAGACGTCTTCTAACTTGACATAAAATGTGTTCACTTTTAGCCATAGCACCTGACAGCATATTATCATGTTAAGCCTTTAAAATTCTTTTTTTAGACTTAATTCCTTTTATAACTATTGATAACACATACAAAAACTGTTTTCAGACAATGGCATGAGATTGTCTTTAGTACAAAAGATGTTTAAGAATCAGCTTAGGAAATTATATAAAAATGATTTCACAAAATGAAATTTATTACAGTAGTAGCTAACAAATTCTATATACTTTATTAGTAATACATAAGAGGATGCGTGAGTAAAAAGCAATAAATCAAAAAGAAAGGAGAGTTAAAATATCCCATAAACTGGATGCTTTCCTGTGACCTCCCATAGCATAATATAGTACGATGCTCTCTGTCAGCCTGTGAGCTTCTGAACAAGTAGCAGGGCGCCTGGCACACAAATGCCAATCCAAAGATTGTTGTTTGAGTTCAAATGTAAAGCTACAAATATATCTTTAGTAATATAAGAGGTATCATCACTTGGAGATGCAGCAATCCTAGAAATAATGAAAATAGTGCCCTCTAGTGGTAGAAAACCACACTTTCTCTCAGTCTTTAATTACAGGAGATTTAAATTAAGAATTCCATTTTATTTGAAAACATTTAAATGTAATACTATGTTTTTCCTTTAACTTATAGAAATATATTCTCTTCTTGGCCGGGCGTGGTGGCTCATGCCTATAATCCCAGCACTCTGGGAGGCCAAGGCAGGAGGACTGCTGGAAGCCAAGAGTTAGAGACCAGCTTGGGCAACACACTGAGACCTCATCTGTACAAAAAATAAAAAATTAGCCGGGCGTGGTGGCGCACGCCTGTGGTCCCAGCTACTCAGGAGGCTGAGGCAGGAGGATCACTTGAGCCCTGGGGATTGAGGCTATAGTGAGCTATGATCAAGCTATTGCACTCCAGCCTGGGCAACAAAGTGGGAACCTGTCTCAAAAAAAAAAAAAAAAAAATTCTCCTCTTAGAAGGAGAGGAATTGAGGGTAGGTATGAGTAGACCACAAAAATGTTAATTTCTATTTGGAGCTTTACCTGCAAATCTATGATTTTCCTAATAAAAACTACCAAAATGAAAGCCCAATAAAACATTGCCTGGCAGGATACAAATAAACTGTGTACATCAGTAATTCTCAAACTGGGATGGAGAAAGGAGAGGGCTTCCCCAGTGGAAACTCTGAGATACAGGGCGTGGGCAGGGGGGCTCTGTCTATGGGACTATGGCAGGGGACAGAACGTGATTCTTATGTTTACCAGAAGGGGGCGTATGTTAAATGTTGGGAAATTGCTCTAAATAAAAAAAATTCAGCCCTAGTATTCTTATTTTAGGGTCATATAGATTGTCAAAAAACTCGAGTATTTTTCCAACCGCAATAATTACAGGTAATTTATTTGCAAAACTGGAAAAATGTCGAATTTCTAATTTTTATCTAGTATTTACAAAATTATAAAGATATTCCCTCCATTAATCCATCAGATTCTTTCATAATGAACTTCAAAGCAGGAGCACAGATGGTCTCCTCCTTACAATGGTTCACGATTTTTCGACTTTACAACGGTGCCAGAGTGACGGGCATTCAGAGGAAACTGTGCTTTGAGTACCCAAACGACCATTCTGTTTTTCACTTTTGGTAAAGTATTCAATAAATTACATAAGATGTTCAACATTTCATTATAAAACAGCCTTTGTGTTAGATGATCTTGGCCAACTGTGGGCTAATGTGAGTGTTCTGAGCACGGTGAAGGCAGCCTAGGCTGAGCTATGACGTTTGGTAAGGGAGGCTTATTAAATGCATTTTTGACTTACGGTGGGTTTGCTGGGATATGACCCCGTCATAAGCTGAGGAGCATCTCAACACTCCCTTCCATGCTCAGGCTGGAAGGGAGTGTAGCTCCTCATTTTTCAGAAGAGGAAATAGTTCCTTGGGAGGCACAATGACAACATGAACATTTCCTGCCTGGCAACTCACAAATCTCTTATAGGGTGTTAAAAAACAAAAAGCTATTTTGAGAGAGGTACAATTCCTGCAGCCTGTCATAGCAGTATCATAGGAAGTTTAGGTGACAAACACAGAATTCAATCACTTAAACTGATCATCTATTTTTACCAGTGAAAACCAATTCATCGTGGAGGCAGCTTTTCTCCTGCTTGAGGCGAATGATCTCTTCTCGCTGTTCGTTGTTTTCTGTGGTCTTTTCGCTGAGGTCCTCTTCACAACAGAAGACAAAAAAAAGTCCTCAAATAAACAGGAGTTCATGGGAAAATACACACTATGACTAACCCTCGTGTCCCCAGCACTCCCTTCCAATTAATCTGAAAGTCCTGTTGGATCTTTGGCCAAACGTGTCCCACATCCAGCATCTTGCTGAGTCCCTGGCAATGACCATGGTCCGAGGCTTCACCTTTCATCTGACTGGTTTCCCTGCACTGGCCTTGCCTCTCCTGTGACAGCCCAGTGTGCACAGAGCAGTCTTTCAAAATAAAAATACACTCGTGTCATTTCTTGGTTAAAAGCCCTCCTATTGCACTTGGGATGAAATCCAAACTCATTCCCGTAACTGCAAAGCCCAGCGCGACCTGGGCCACCTCCCTCCCTCCCACTCTCCCCTTCTCTCCTCCTGTTCCTTGAACTTGTCTGTGGCATAAGAAACACATTTGTTCTGTCCTCTGTTCTTGGAACAGAACTCCTAAAACCCGCGGAATTTCCTAGGTGATAAGAGTGTCTTTTATCATTCACAAGGACCCCCAAGCAATCACACCAGAGTTCATGCTAATGGGTGACTGAGGGTGGGGCCCCCAGATGGCCTCCGAATGCAGCTGGTCACAGGACACACCAGGTGATTAGAGGGCTGGAACTTACAGCCCCACTCACCCACCTCCAGGAAGGGGAGGGAGGGCAGGACACTGAGTTCTGCAAAAATTCTTGGACAAGGAGATTTGACGTTTGAGAGCTTCCAGGTGGGTGAACACACTGAGATATTTGGTGGCACACACAGAGAGGGCACGGAAGCTCCGAGCTCAACATCCCCCATACCTCGCCCTATGGGGACTCATGGGACTGAGCCTGCGAACTTGCGGGATCAACACTTACTCCAGGTAGTAGAGATCGCCAAATTGGACTGAAGTTTTGGACACCCTGTTGGTGTCTAAACTGAAAGATTGGTTGGTATCAGAGAAAATATCCCAGAATGACCCAACCTCAAAACTCACGCTAGGGCTTCTGCATTTGCTACCTCTCCTGCCTGAGAGGTACCTGGCCCAGGTCTTCACAAGGCTGGGTCTCCCCTCGTTCAAGTTCCAGCTCAAATGTTAACTCTTCAAAGAAGCCTTCCCAGTCTAACCAAATCAAATGAGTCTATCTGTCTCACTCTCCATTCTACCACCCATTACCCTACTTGCCTTTTTTACAAAATGTTTTCGATAAATATGAATGTATAAAATATTTATAATACATAAACATTGACACAAGAGACTTATTACTTGAATATCTTACCGAGGTATATATAAACATTCAATAAACACCGAATACCGACCATGTGTCCCAGGTGCTGTGTTATTAACCGTGTATCCAAAAAAGAGAAGACGAGAGTGTCGCTGCCACCAAGAGGCTGACACGATGATTACGGTTTTAGCCGAGGCTACGTGTGGGGGCGAGCCCGTAGGTCAGGGCTTCACAAGGATGGGACTTTAGAATGCTCAATCTCTTAAATTAAATCAGCCAAGATAAAATTTCATAATTTCAGAATCTTTTCGTTGAAAGAAACGTAAAAGGTCATTTAGTTCAGGAATATGCAGGAATCCTTCCCACGCCGGTCCCTTGCTTGAATACATCCAGGAGAGTAGCTCACAGCCTCACGAGGCGTCCCGTGCCACACAGAGGTCGGACAACTTCCCCAGACTGTGGCTCTGTCACAGCTTCCAAGGTGGCTCGTTCCACCGCGGGAGTCAGTCCTCTTGTCCAATGCCATGACCATTTACAGAATGTGATACTATGGCTGCAGAATCAAGACCAAAATGATAGCTCCTCAGTCCAGCAGAGGAGCTGCTGCCCCATAGTGGGGAAAGGTCGAGAGGGGGCTCTACCTCCAGACCCTTTGTAGACTATTTAAAATCTTTATACCATTACCTATATCCATATTCAAATACACAGTACTAACTTATACGGGATACCTGCCTTCCTTTCATGACAAAACTTCAAGATTTCTATTACTCAGAAAGAAGAGAATCATGGAGTTACCATGAGAATGAAAACAGAAAAGAAGAATCCGAAAGGAATTTGCGAAAACGAAACATGGACCAAAAAGCCACCCTGGTAGACTGTGTTGTTAGTAGCAATTCCTCATCTCTCTGCAAGCGGTTTTGCAATTCCCTCCACAAAGGAGCAGAGCGTGTTTCCCCACGGCTAGACTTGGGGTTCGGCTGCATGACTTGCTTCAGCCAATAGTATGAGACAGAAGTGAAGGTGTCAGGCCCAGGCCTAAATTGTAGAGTCCTCACGTGTCTTTGCTTAAGCTTCTGTCCTTGCCATGGGAAGAAAAGCCCAGGCCAGCCCCGTCGGGAGGGGAAGATGAGACCCATAAGGCAGAGCTGCCCCCTTGAGCAGCTCAGCGGGGTCCAAACGAGATCAGCCAGCTTCCCCTTGGCCTCGAGAAGCATGCGTCTGATAAATGCCACGGCGCTGCCCGACACCCAGACACGGCTGCTGTCACAGAGCAGGTATTAGCGGTAAGTAACGGTACAGTTACCTAAACTAGGGCAGCAATATTTTAAAATATGATGTATTAAGCAGTTTTCCCCAATTCTGTTATTACCTCGCAACCCAAAAATTGCAGCATAATTCTATAGAAATGAAACGGATATTTCATGTTAGGGCCTGAGACAAGAACAGACATATCCACTCTCACACATAAAATTAGATGACCCCAAATAAGGGAATATTATATATTCCCAAGATAATATATTATTGTCTTAAATGTATGTCTCTTCCTTACCTTTCAGTTTATTGACTTCAATCTTAAGTGTCTTCAGTTTCTGCTTATAATCTTGCTTTTCTTTCACAATGCAAGTCTCCACCATCTTGGCGTCGCGCAAAGCGTGTTCTAACAGCTTAAATTTCCCCGAGCAGTCTGAGATGTGGTTGACCGCCTCAATAATATCCTTGTCCTGAAATCCAAATTTGAAAACGGTTATGCTAGATTTTAAGATTCCAACTAATCAGTAAGAAACGATTACATTTAAGATCTCGTCGTGTGCCAGGTTTCATTCCAAGCACTTCTCACATATTAATTTATTTAATCACAAAACCGCGTGCAGTCGTAACTCCATGAAGTGGTACGGTTATTGTTGCCAAGTGACAGATGAGTCAACAGACACAGACAGGTGACGTTACTTGCACACGGTTACACAACTAGTTAGTGATGGAGCTGCCATTTGACCCTAGCTGGCCGGCCTCGGAAACTATGCACTGAACTGCGATATCTTACTGCCTCTCAGAAAGTTTAGAACCAGACAATTTGATCACCTAAGAAACTAGGAGCAAAAGGAGAGTTGGCAGCCCTCGGCGAGGAAGTCGTTCGCTGGATCCCAGGTAAACCCTAGGGCTCACTATTTCCTCCCTTCTTTCAGCCTGTTAACGTGACAGACTCTGAGACCTCCTCCCAAACTTACCACGTTAGAATCTCTTAATTGTTGAGGTTGTTTTAATTACAAAAAACGTACCTGCTTGTTGTAAAGCAATTCAAACAATACCTAAAAGTATAAAAGTAATGAGTAAAAGTTCTAGTCCTCTCCCTCTCACCTGGAATGACTGTTATTAACAGGTTTTCCCCCTGATGAATGAAGTATAAGCGTTTCTGCTACAGCATTGTGTATGCATTCTTTTTTTTTTTTTTTTAAACAGCGTCCTGCTCTGTTGCCCTAGGCTAGAGTATAATCGTGCAATTATAGTTCACTGCAGCCTTGAACTCCTGGGTTCAAGTGATCCTCCTGCCTCAGCCTCCCAAGTAGCTGGGACTACAGGCACACACCACCATACTTGGCTAATTTTTCTATTTTTTGTAGAGATGGGGTCTCGCTATGTTGCCCAGGCTGGTCTCAAACTCCAGGCCTCAAATGTCCTCCCACCTTGGCCTCTCAAAGTGTTGGGATTATAGGTGTGAGCTACCATGCCCAGGGTTAAATATGCATTGTTGAAAAACCTCATCATCTTCACATGTCACTGCCAGGAGGCTTACAGGAAAATAGGGTGGGAGCAGGCCATTAAAAAACCAATGGAACTTTGTGCCCAGGCCAGTAGCAAAAAGTGACAGTGCTAATAAGTACAGGAGAAGTTAGGCCAATGCCAGGAGAAGCACATCACAGTCAATCCCTTCAGCCTTAAACCTGAGGCTCTACTTCCTCCTTTGATAAGCATGTCCTGGAAAGCACTTGCTTCAAACAGAAACCATTTTCATCAAAATAAAAACTCCAATTCTGTGAGCACAGCCTTCTTAGTTAATCCACTGTTTTTACGTGGGGGAAATGCCTTTGTGGCATTTTCATTAGTGTTCACAGCTTTGTCAGAGTTTGCTCTGATGGAAACCATAGCAGTTGCTGAACTGGCTACTGCTTTGCTAAAGAAAATACTGAATATTTTAATATTTTCTCTTTAACTTTAAGAACGGTTGCCTCTGATCACTTCAAAACATTATGTGCTAGGGAAAAAATCACATACAAATTAGCATGAGTGTCCCATTCTACCAACATCATCCCCCGAGTCACCAACTGTCGAAAACGTGTGTTACAGCCCAAGAGACCGTATGCTACTGCCCAGCGCACGTTAGTGACTACATCAACCCTTGACTAATAGTTTTTCTCTCCCTTAAAAAAAATATTTCCCAAATCTTCTAGCGGTTAGGAAAAAATTTTTTTTAATTTTAAAAAGGAAAAAAATGTTAACAAGCAATCTAATTGCCAATAACTTTAAGAGACCTAATAATGGATACCTGGCCAAAAAAAACCAAGTTAATTTGTTAATTCCATGTTAATCCCATGGGATGCCAGGCCGTGGGATGGGCTTTGGAGACAGAAGACCGGAAGTGGAGACCTGCCTCTTCTTTTAACGCCTGGGGAACATCATTTTAAGCCTGTGTCCCTCCTTTATAAAATGAGTATTTTAGAAAACAAGAGCGTTTTCTAGGTACTGTGTACACAAGTAGCTCTACATTGCTGGGACGCTATGGACTTAGGTGAAATAATGTATGCAACTATAATTTATTAACTACAAAGTGCTCTGGCAAAGGCAAGTATTGTTTTTAATTACCTTTAGCTTTATCATTGTCGTGAGAGCTTGTTCTCGAGCTTGCAATTGTCCTACCTGAGCAGAAAGTTCCACTAATGTGTTGCTCAGGGTCTCGTTTCTAGCCTGCAAGGGAACGACACACACGTGGGCACCACTTGAGTCTTGAGTCTTTCTAAAGCTTTCATGACTATCAGCAGCCACAATCTGTCCTCACTCTCCTATTTTGTTTTTTCCTCGTTTAACTTTCTTTAATAACAAAGCAGGCTAAAAAGCAATCCTCGAAAAGGAGTACAATTCCTTCCCTTCCGTCAAAAAAAAAAAAAAAAAAGGAATACAAATGCAAATATCTATTTCTCCATGATTTCTAGCATCTTCTCAATACTTACACTTGCTCTATTGAATTACATGGGTTATGTTCGTAAACGTGTCTACTTCCTGGTGTCTTTTATGTGTAATTTTAGGTTGGGAAGAAGGAAGAAAATGAATGAATGAGAACTGGGTTAGTGAGAGATTTCCTCTGCTGAAATACAGTAGCATTGATGAATTCTGTGAATTTAAAAAAAA